CCAAAGTTCTTGGATTAAACCTTAAGCTGGAGGCTTTTCCTGACTCACGCAGCTACAGCAGCTGAGGAGCTCAAGGTTGGCAGGCAGCATACTGGCTGTTGACTCCAAAGAAGATGAATCCAAGATCTCCAGGCCGAATGGTGGATTGTTCACTTATGGACAGTTGTAGGCAGCACAACAGAATCCCGATCCACAGAAGAGTGTCTCTTTTCCCAAAATGTCCATAAATATACTGGAAGCAGGCCATTAATTCAAATCCATTGTAAGTACCAAGGTCAGCAGAGCATGGTAGGCTGCTTAACAAAGACACAGCTACATGCAGGGTCCAAGTATGCCATAAGCTAGAGACCATTCCCCAAGGTTTTTCCTTATATATAGGAAGCAGACCACATTCCCTGAGGCAGCTACTCAGCTGCTAACGGTAGATTCCACCATGGAGTTGATTACCAGTCTTGTCATGGGGAATACTACATCCAGCTGCCCAGCCACTCAACCAGGCCCAGCAAGTTGACACACAAACTGAACTACAACACAATGAAGGTGAGAAGACAATGGGATGGTATATATAAAGCCCTGAAAGAGAAAAATCTCCAACCAAGAATTACATACCCAGCAAAATTATCCCCCCAAATATGATGGTGAAATTAGGACATTTCCAGATCAACAAAAATTAAGGGAATTTGTTAAAACCAGACTAACCTTACAAAAGATGCTAAAGGGAGTCCTTTGGACAGAGAACCAACAACAGCAAACAATAACTGACCATTAACACACGTGATGACATAACCCAGAAATCAGCCCAGTTATAGAAGTATCCAAAGTAAATAAGCCTACAAGATTGTAAACAGGGAACCAGAGACATCAATTGACAAATGACGACAACTACAAACCAAAAAGAGGGGAAAAATTGTGTAGTTACAGAACTTCTAAATGGTCGAGAAGTCAAGACAACTACAAGATGGAACAGACTGTTCTAAACTTGGGAAGAAAACTATAAATCACAGGGTAATAAAGAAAAATGATATACCTTCACATCGAAATGAAAAAGAGGACCAACACAAATATTTAGCAAATACTAAAACTATAGCAACAAAGGAAGTGATAACACGATTCATAAACAAAACAAGCTCAGCACAGAAAATTATATGGAACAAAGAAATCAACACCACAAAGAAGCACATAACAAAATGACAGCAACAAATTCATACTTGTCAATAATTACATATCTGGCAAGGGACTTATCTCTAAGATTTACAGAAAACTCCCAACACCTCAACAGCAAAGGAATTAACAATCCAGTTGAAAAATGGGCAGAAGACATGACTAGACATTTCATCAAGGAGGATATTTAGGTGGCCAGCACACACATGAAGAGATGCTCACGATCACTGGCCATCAGACAGATGGAAATCAAAACAACAACGAGATACCATCTTACCCCAGCACTGATGGCAAGGTTCAACAAGATAGAAAATAACAAATGCTGGCAGGGATGTGGAGAGATTGGAATTCTCGTACACTGCTGGTGGGACTGTGAAGTGATACAACCATTGTGAAAAGCAGTATGGCAATTCCTTAGAAAGCAGGAATTGGAGATATCATTTGACCCAGCAATCCCATTACTAGGTGTATAACCAGAAAGGTGAGAGCAAGGACAGGAACAGATAAATGCACTTTCATGTTTGTTGCAGCACTATTTACAATAGCAAAAAGTGGAAACAACCTATGTGCTCCTCA